GTCAAGAACTACAAAAGTCGAGCTGGGAGGGGATGAACCCGCCCCCAGTTTCGCGTCCTCCGCCACCAAGAATGCCGTGGGGTTCCACCTCCCACCCCCGCCTCCTCCTCCTCCACCCCCACCACCCCCACCTCTGCCTCAAGATGGACAAGAGAAGTACACAGATATTTACAGCAGGGCTAAGACAGTTCGGATAGGACGCTGGCGCTGGCCACCACCGCGAGGAGAAAATGATGCAGAGACTAGTTATTTCCAGTTTAAAATGAAGAAACAGCAAGAAAAATTGGATCGACAAGACCAAGATGAACAAACTCGCGATGAAGCAGAGGAGTTCGTGGAGTTTCCCGAAATTCCAGACATGACCCAGGTTGAGCCACTAAATAACCAGATTCATAAGGCAGAATCTGTAGAGAGCTTTGATGAGAGGATTGTTGAGACTAAGAAAGCTACACCTAACAGACGGCACAAGTCTTCAGAGGATAAAAGTGACAAAACCTTTGAAGGTGACGAGAAATCCATGCCAGGTAGCATAGGAAAACTTCGTATTAGCTCCGAGATGAAAGCCAAATTAGAACAGTTAACAATGGACCAGAGCGTGCGGTCATCACACAAGGATTCCAGAAGTAGGGCATCATCTGTGTCCAGAAGTAGAGAGAACTTAGCCGACACGGGAATCAAGAAATTGACAGAGAGTAGGAGGACCCTTCTGGAGCGGCAGTTGGTTGGTGATTTTGGACGAGATGAAATTGACACTGCCCCCAGAAGTCGCTCAGATCGCAGAGTTGGATCAGAAGACGGGTTCATTTCCGTGGAGACAGCAGTCACAGAAGGATTTGATGACTTCGAGGATGATATTACAGAGACTCACGAAAGTAGCCAGTTCTTGGTAGAAAACCTAGTTAAAGATCAAGTGGAGAGAATGGAGAAAAGCCGACGAGACATTCGTGAACAGCAGGAAGAACTTGGCTATCCAATGGCCCATCCCATGCTTGGATATCCTCCAGGAGACTACCGACAACGTGAGAGCCAGATATACCCACCAAGTTCTATGACTGAGAAAGCATTTGATCAGTCCAGCCAGGCTTCTCGCAGTTACATCTATGAGGAGAGTCTGGCTTCATCTAGAAGCATGCAGAACACCCATGCTGTCCCACAAACTGTGTACCAACGTGGAGTAGAAACAAGAATGCTGTTCCCTTCTATTCCCAAAGATCAGCAACGTTTACCACCACCGATTGGGCCCACACCAGGACCCGTTCCGCCCACTCCGCCCTCTATCGATGCTTCCAGTAGCTACTATACACCAAGCACACCCGTGGTCCCGAGGCATCGAGTTCCTCCTGCACCGATATCGCCACCAGTCTTCCTACAGGACAAAGCTTCGTCTGAGAGGATAGAATGTAAGTTTCATATTGGAAGTAGAATTTAGTGGAGGTTTTTCATATAAGCAAATTTAAAATATTTAAGTTGGTACTAAACTATTTGAAAATTGTGTATAGTTTTATGAAGGTATAAAATAATAATGATTTTAACACTTCATTGGGATTTTTTCCGTAAATTCTCAAGTACACGCACCGATAAGGTAGTGACATAGGCTATAAGACGACTTCCCACCCCACAATAATGGTACTAGAGATACTAATGTTTTTCATTTGAAAATATTTACCTTTCTAATTTGGATATCCATTTTTAGCTTGTTATTGTATTACTTGTTTCTTCTATGTGGAATTCACTATGGTCTATATTTACTTACTACTGTTGTTGGATT